CTGGATCAAGTCCCGTATCGGGCTCCTTGCTCAACGGAGAGCCTGCTTCTCTCTCTGCCTCTGCGGCCACTTTGCCTGCTTGCGCTCTTGCGCTCTCTCTCTCGCTAACTAAATAAATAAGATCTTTAAAAAATGGTTATTAAAAAAAGAATCATTCAAACTGATTGTGACAATTTAGAGCACTGTTTGCTCCATATCCTAAAGAAATAGAGTTGGAAAATAATTCAAATAGGTTGTGACAAACTAGAGCATTATTTTGTTTGTGTATATATATGGGTGTGTGTGTGTGTGTGTGTGTGTGTGTGTGTGTGTGTGTATACACACAAAACCTTACAAATTGGTCTGGGTGGGGGAGAATGAGAGTTTTTACCTGCGCAAAAGATCCAGACTGCAAAAGAAAGAGGCTATTGGAGGAGAGAAAATAAATGATATTTATAACTTATTAGTTAAGTTATAAGTTAACTTATTATAACTTATTACATAACAACCACATTGTGATTGGATAACATTTTGGTCAGTTTTAGCAGAAATCAGAAATTCCCATTATTTTTTAAGTGATTTTTACTTATTCATTTGAGAGAGAGAGAGAGTGTGTGTGTGCAGGAGAGCATGAGCAGGGGGAGGGTCAGAGGGAGAGGTAGAAGTCGACTCCCCCGCTGAACTGGGTGCCAGAGGTGGGGCTCCATCCCAGGACCCTGGAATCATGACCTGAGCCAAAGACAGACGCTTAACTGAAGTACCCAGGTGCCCCAGAAATTCCATTATTAGTTAAGGAAATAAATAAACAAAAAATGGGTCTCAGGAGGCAATATTTGGATAAACCAGCCATGCCTAGATGCTGTTCTTTTTGTAATTCATGCCTGGTTTAGTATGTGCATGGCTTATCTAGGAAGACATGGATTTTAGAAATAGAAATCATTTTCCTCTAGAAATAGGTTTTCTGAGCCCAGGATAGAGCTAAGCTGAGGAGAAACTTTCTTGATTCTTACCCATGCCTGAGTATATCCCTGCAATGATAAGAATACATCGGTTCAACAGGAGGTTACTCTCTTGGATTAATACCAATTGTTTTACTATTCACTTAACACTTCTCTCAATTTCATGGGATCACCACCCATATGTAGTTGCAAGAATAAAACTTAGAACATTAATTCAGCATCTAAGTGTATACTTCCGGATGTGAATAGGTGAGCAGAAAGGGTTCTGTTGTGAAATGCTTTAGAAATGCAGAGTGACGCACAGATAGGCGGGATTCTCTGCTTTAGGATTTATAAAAGCTTTTAACATGTTCGTGTGCATTGTGAAGCTTTAAGAGGCGTTGGAGCATGCAGTGCTTCCCAAATTATTTAACCAGGGAATCCTTTTCCTGGGGAAATGCTGCTACATCCAGTGCATTTTTAGTGATCACTGAGATATCTTCTTAGAACTCTAACATCGCTACTAAGTACATTGAAACATCCCAGTGAAGTTACTGAGATGTGCTTCTCTGTAGGTGGCGGTGAATTTCACATGTTTTCCCTTGAGCTGTCTCTATATTCAGATACACATCCTGTGGGGTCCAGAGTGCCCTACATGTTCTCGTAGGGACCTATGAATCCTCCCTCCAGTTCCTGTTACTAGTTTTGTAACTACTTGCTTATTATGGGGCTACCATCAGATTAGGAACTCCCTGAGGCCTGGATTTAGTCCCTCATTCTGTCTTTGCCAACTTGAGTGGCCCCTCCTCACATGTCCCAGGCACGTGGAGATTTTGTGTTCAATGCAGTTAGAGCCACTAAATCGCAAGCCAAGGCAGAATTTTGATCCATGTCTTGTCCTAAGATTCCTCTTTACCTTCTTCATTTTATTAACTCATCATTGACATTTTGGGAAGATAGTATCCAGGCTGCTTTCTGGTTTTTTTTGTTTGTTTTATTTATTTATTTGGCAGGCAGAGATCACAAGTAGGCAAAGAGTCAGGCAGGTGGGCGGGGGGCTGGGGGGAAGCAAGCTCCCTGCTGATCAGAAAGCCTGATGTGGGGCTCGATCCCATGACCCTGAGATCATGACCTGAGCTGAAGGCAGAGGCTTTAACTCACTAGCCAGCCAGGCACCCACAGGCTGTTTTCTGTTTTACACGAAGCAACACCTTATTTTCAGCATCACTGACAAGATAAACCTGCTTGGTGGGCATGGAAGTGAGGAGAGGAGAGCAGGACACAGGAGGATGGGGTCAGGGTGAATTTTCGAAAGCGTACCCGTACACATCCCCGCTGCTATGTGTGGCTGTCCACAATTTGCCAAGCAGTAAACATGGCTCATGAGATCAGGGAATAATAATCAGACTGTTCTAGATTTTGATAGGCTCGCTTTTAAAGTCAGATTTACACTAGAACAACTCAATTCTTCCCAACAGTTTTAGAATGTCATTTTATTTTATGTAAATTCAAAAAATTGATTTGAAGTAAAAACTTAAAATCAGTATTACAATACATTTGAAAAGTGGGCTAAAAGAAGTAATATCAGGAACTAATTGTAATTACATCCCATGGCAGCCTGGGAACTCATCTCATTTAATTACAGATTCAAAGTTTGTGCTTTCTTGGAAGAGGACAGAGCTAGGCTGAGGGCAAACTGTCAATTAATTTTTTATAATTACCCACATACAAAACTCAAAAGAGTACCAAAAAAATAAGCTGTCTATAAAAGACTGAGCGGAGCATACACTGCAAATATTCAAAAATATGAAACTATGCCACAAATTGGAATGCCTTCAAAATGAGAGATTAGTGCCAGGTTGGTTAACTTTATAGAAAGGGAAAATAAATTGCATGTTTCTAAACAAATGCTTGGCAGGAACACAATATCACAGGGATGTACTCATTTGGTCAAAGCTAAGAACCTCATGTATTGTGTGTCCTTCCAACTAAACATTAGCAATTCAGTTTGACAAACTTAAGAAGTTTAAAATAATACCCTACTATTCCATTTTTCATCTAGCTTTTTTCTGCTTTATGTTTATTTTTTATTTTTCTAATTTTCAATGATTTTCAAATTTTCTAATTTCAATGATGAGTATCAGTCCTGAGGTCTTCTCCCACCCCAGAGTTTTTGGGCAGAGAACATGCCAAGTTTTTCTACTTGTGTCTCTTTCTGAAATTGGATGGGTAGCCTAGGGAGGAAGGGCTGATCTTGAGCTTTGTTTTCAAAAAATGCCTTGTAAAATGTCCACACCCCTTCTCATTCCAATGAGAGAGTGGACACAATGCCCAAGGAAATGGACATGTTGGTATTTTGGCCTAAGTGTCCTGCTTTACCTCCTCGAAGTTCATACCGGGAAATCTGGGGGTCCCTCTCTGTAGCCACACCCTCAGCAACTTCGCAGCTGCTCTCATAAAAGAGGTAGTATTGGGTACCCATTCCTAGCCTTGCCATTTGCTTTGACAAACAGGATTTGGTACAAGTGGTGGTGTGCCAGTTCTCAGCAAAGCCCTACATTTGCTCCCCCAGCGTGGGTCAGTGTAGGAGAACACACCCAGTTACCTCCCTAGTGAGTGCAAGAATGCAGCCAGTTTGCTGCTACCATCCAGTCTGGCCACCCCACGCCCCTCAACAGCCAGTCAACCCAAGACATCTGGGCAAGTACAGGTGTGAGCAGAGGAGTCCTGCCTCCTCACGTCCCATGAACTAAAGACATTCTTCTCATTGAGGTTTTATGGTTGCCATACCCATGATCATGGCAACAGAAAACTCCTACCCCAGGAAGTGGACATAGCACGAATGTGATTGGCTCTTGGCCTCCATCGGGGCTCACTCCGATCGCTTAATTAACTTCACTAGAACACTAGCTGATTTTGTATGGCAATGAAGTTTTTAGATCCTACCTATAGTGCTGGGCGGTGTGGTGTCAGTGGTGTTTTACTGTATTTACATTAAAATTTTCAACTAATGAATTCAGAAAGGCCTCTGAGTGAGTTGGTTGACTAAAATAGCTGAATGGGGGAGTGGGTAGGTAGGGAGAAATCCAAGACCAACTGACATTGTTTAAAAATGTACACATAGGGGCGCCTGGGTGGCCCAGTCAGCTGGGTGTCTGATTCTTGGTTTCAGCTCAGGTCGTGATCTCAGGGTACTGGGATCAAGCTCTGCTTCAGGATCCCCATGCAAGGGGGAGTCAGCTTGAGATTCTCTCTACTTCTCCCTCTGCTTCTTCCCGCTGCCCCGTACCACTCATGTGCTTTCTTTCTCTCAAATAAATACACCCTTAAAAACAATATTCGCTTAATCTCGATGATAGAAGTAACAAGCTGAAGGCTTAGTGTAAAAACAAAACGTTCTCTTCTGTTCTCATTTCTGTTTTCAACTACCTACTCAATAGGTCACTGGAACTCAGCAATTGTTTTCTTAGGAATATTTAATGTGAATATTACTTTGGGGCAGACAAGATGTTTGAAATATGTGTTCATTAGAATATATCCATTTTATTTTACCAAATTACATGTTTGGGGATTTTTCTATTTCATAGAAAGCTTTTAGTTTTAGAACCAAGTAATACAATTCTCAGCACTATTTCCCATGGGATGGCTTCAGGAAGGGATTAAACCCACTATAAGAATGGTTAAAATTCAGGGCACATGTAAAAACACATTATTTAAGGGCATGAGGCTAAAAGTGAATTTGGAAGAGTAATCAAGTAAATACCGACAGTACCTAAGTTACTAAAACAGAAGCCCAATAGGGCTTAACGTACATGTTCTTAACATCCAAAATTATTTCTCCCTATTGATGAGCTTTCTATTTGTAAAGGAAATTGAGAATTATATAAATAAGAGAGAAGAAAGAGACACAGAGAAAGAACAAGACAATGAGAACAAGAGGAACGATGTATTAGTGGGTATGAGAAAATATAGGAAAAAATGCAGAGTTATCAGTATACAGGCTCTTTTTATATTTTATTTTCATAAATGTACACTGAGAGCTTAGATTCTATCAATGAACACAGCTGAAGAATATCAAAGTCATCTTGTGTTAAAATTACTTTTATTCAGGATGAAAAATACAACATGTAACCAGATTAGATGATAGTCTATGATTAGTTCTTTACCACATATTTCAAAAGAACTACATACTTATTTCCCCTTGTTGTTATTGTGATATATTTTTTTATTATTACTTAGGTTACAATGTAGTGTTTTCTGTAGCTTTTCTTTAATAGCAGAGAGAAGACATGTTGCACACCATTACAAGCAGAAAAAAATGAATACGTATTTTTTCAAAGTAAGAACAAGGAAGACACCAAATCTACAACTTGTAGTTCAGAGTTCAGGGAAATTTTTTTTCTTTAAATAGGTGCTTTTCTTGGGTTTGATGTGGTCTGAGAAAAGCTCTAGATTTTGCGGACTGCAGCAGCATAAAGCTATTTCCAACACGATGGATGAAGATGGATCTGAGGTAGAAAGGTGGTCATGGCTTTCCTCTTATAGAAAACAATTTTCTTCTCAAAATATCTAGGCTGCAAATAGACACCCTTGCCCCCAACCCACCCAACCTATTCTAAAAGAATAGCAATTTCTAACTTTAAGCCTCCTTCTGGCCAAATCCCAGGTCAAGAGAACCCAAAGTTAAAATGTCCTGATGTTTTAAATGTATGAATGCTGAATCAAAACACATTATTTTCACTGTTTGTTTGTTTGTTTGTTTGTTTTGGTTTCTCTACATTTGGTGATTACATAACATGTTTCAACTGAATCAATTAAAGGTTAAATCAGAAGTTGAATGAAACACCTAAGTGAATGTACTCAAAGGTACAGGCAGGGGTACCACCATCTAAGTATTAATTTTATTCCTCTGTGGAAGCAGTGACATAGGTTTTTGATAAACATCCCTTCCAAATAAATTGGTCAAATGAAAAGTAATAAAAAAATGTAATCATTCACCCGAAAGGTAAAATGAAATATGCATTAAATTTGTGTCTGCTGTCAGAAAGAAAATGACTGGGAATTTCAAGAATTACAAATGACTTGAGTATATGTAAACAAAAATAAAGTTCTCTTAAAAGGGAATTGAAGACAAAGATGTGTCCTGGTAGCACAATGAAGGAAAGGTCTGCTGTGTATTTAATGATGAAAATCAAGACTTCGCAATGAAAAAAAAAGTTATCCCATGTTTTGTTTCTATGTCAAAATGAAAATGATTATGTAAATGGGTAACCTTTGGTGAAATGATCTTTGAGATTATTAGAATCCTGCTTTGAGTCTCCTCTATCATATAGACTGGGACATGAAATAAATTAAGAAATCAAGACCTACTTACATAGGGCAGGGAAATAAAATGCAGGAAACAAATCCCAATGGGAATGCCAGGGAGTCCCCACAGGGCTTTTACTGTGGTTATCCAAGTGGTCACTAAAGAAGTGAAGTATATGATGTCTAAATAAAGTTCAGTGGCATACACAAAGATGTGGCCTAAATCATACACATAAATATTTGATTGAAATACATGAATTTAGTAATTTGGCCAAATCATGGAAACAGACACAAGGAAATCCATTTGGTCATGTGGCTGATAAATTATAAATAACCAAAACGTAATGGTAAAGGAATGGAAAAAATAAATGAAGTTATTGTACAAGGTTAATATGAAGGAATGTAAAAATGTAACATTGTTTTCTCATTCTTATGCAATTTTTGTCATGGTTATTAAAAAGAAGTATCATATTAGAAAGCCCCCACCCATTTTCCCAATGCTGTATACAGTATACAAATCAGTGACAAATGTATTACCATTTCCAAATACCACTCTGTTCATTAATTTACAGTTGCATAGAAAGGGAAGAAGAAAGCAATAAACAATAATATATGATTATTATAAAAACAAAATATCCTTTTCTCTTTGGATAGTCAGTGTTTTACTCCTTCAGTAGAACACACAGTCAGCGCTCAACAGCATGTGTCAAGGAGCCATGGAGTTCTGATTCAATGGAACTTGGAATTGGCATTTGCTGAAAAGGGCAACACTGGCAGTCAGGAAATGTTGGTTGGCTAGATGGATATTTCACATTGCCTGCAGGAAGGGAGACAGTGCTGTCAGAGCAACATTTACACAGACATTACAGTAGGAGGGACCTGTCACATCTCTTCTGAGAAATCAAAGTGCTTCTTTCAGAACAAGTCAAATCCCATTCTGCTGTGTTTGAACGGAACCCTCTATTCCCCTGTGACTTTTGCTCCCTGGGATGAGGGCTTTCTCTTCCATGCAGAAGGCATCTAGTCTGCTTTTTATCATTGCAGCCAACAGAGAGGATGTTTTGGAAGACTTGTCTCGTGCCGAGGCTGGAAACCAGGTTAAAATCAAGAGGACTTGGCTTTTTCTTGCTGGAGGTACCAAGGGTGAGTGAATGAGGCTGGTTCAAGGACCCAGTCTCTCCCTGGGGGACTTTGGGAGGTCTATGGCTAAGGGGATACCCTTTATAATTCCAACTGGTCCCCAATCCATGCTGGGGTCCAGACAAGAGGAATGAAAGACAGGACTTATAGTCTCAGGGTGAGTGGTGGCTCCAGTTAATGGACCTGGGCCAATGTACGTAGCCCTGAGAAGATATAAATCTGGGCCATGCTCAGGGGAGTGGCATTAATCTTTTGAAGGGAATGTCAAACAGCTGGATCCATTATCATTAAAATTCACATCCTTTGTTCTTCTCTGAATGTGTCCTCCAGTTGGTTGCTCTCATCAATACCCAGCTTCCTTGAAGACATGGCTTCCTCCAAAACCTCCTCACATATGACCATTTTTTATCTCCTGTATTCTTCATGTATTGGATAACTGCTTTCTAGGTCCACATTACGTTTCTTCAGGCCTTTTCCTCTCTCTCCCCACCCAACTTCGAATCTCACACCATCAGACTCTACTACCCATGATAGTCAACTTCTGAGCCCTTGGGTCATGTTCCCTTACTTTTTTGAAGAATGGTTCACCACCATCAAGCTAAAACTATGTTTAAATCTCCATGATTTCAATACCCACACAGATGTTCTTCCCAAACTCTGGCCTCTCAGTTCCTCGAGCTCCTCTCCTCCAGTGAACCTGTCCTCCAGCCTTGTCAGCCATGCAAACTTCCAAATACCATCACCATCACCAATACCTCAACCCCTCCAACACTTCAATTTCAATCATCCTGCCTTCTGAAAACTACCCCTACTTTCCCACCTACTTCCATTAGGACCCCAATGCCATCCACCCTTTGCTACCATAATTCATTGTTCCTCCTGCCTTTTTTTCTGTCTCCTGCACCTAACATGTCTTCACTTCTTTTCCTACAAGTTTAGATGTCTGGTTCAATCATTATCAGCATGTCTCTGCCTCTTCCCTTGAATTGTTGCACTCTCTGGGCCAAACCATGACTTCAACTCTGGTAAAATGCAACACTCAGCCAACTCTGGTACCTGTGCTTATGAACTTGAATGTGGCCAGCAGACAACACACAGCCTTGCAGACGGCCTCACATTAAGTTCACAGGTAGGCACCAGAAGTCATGCTGAACACTGCCTTGCACTCACACTACTTCCCTGTCCATGATCTCTTGATCTCCAAGCAGCCAGGGCAACATCCTCTAGGATTTCCTCACACCTCGGACACTTCCTCCCATCCTCAGCCCTGCTGAAGCCCTGGCTTCTGATTCACTGAGATGACACAAGCAATCAGAATAATCTTCCTCTCCAAGCTCTCCCCTCACATCTCCTGAGCTCATACCTCACATCTGCTAACTGACATATTTCCTTTTCTTCCCTCCAGGTTCTATAGACCACCTGTCTGTGATTCCCATGAAGACCCCAGCCCCCCTTGCCATTAAGACAATGACACAATCAGGAGGTTCAAGATTCATAAACAAGCTCAGGAAAGAAAACGTTCTCCAAAGATGTGCTGTTGTGGTCTTGTGGCTCCTGAGCACTAAGAGCCCTGATACCGCCAGGTATCAAGGTAGAGCTGCTGACCTTTCTCAGTAAATTCCTCCCCTCTCCTTCTCAGCAAACTTAAAGGAAAAAACAAAACATCCGCCCCCTCAAAGTACCAAAATCATTTTGTGTACCACTGAAGTCATGATTTTTTTTTTTAAAGATTTTATTTATTTGACAGAGAGAGAGAGATCACAAGTAGGCAGAGAGGCAGGCAGACAGAGAGAGAGAGAGAGAGGGAAGCAGGCTCCCTACTGAGCAGAGAGCCCGATGTGGGGCTCGATCCCAGGACCCTGAGATCATGATCTGAGCTGAAGGCAGAGGCTTTAACCCACTGAGCCACCCAGGCACCCCAAAGTCATGATTTTTAAGTCCATGTTCTGTGATACTGCAAATCTGGGAGGGCACTGGTCAGCCAGATCTATCCAGGGTGATTTTGCACAATGCATATGAGGCCAGTAAAAAGCTGTTAGAACACAAAGGATCAGGCACTTGGTATTTTGGGGCATCTGGAAAAACTAGCCTGAGAGGGGTTTTCCCTCCCCAGACTGACAGAATTAACCAACACTGAAAGGTCAAGCAAGTTTACTAATTTACATGGGGAACAAAGTCTAGCACTAAAATCAAGAGCAGCTCATCTGCTTACTCCAGTAATCAACTTACTTGTTATAATCAACAAGCCCCAAAGCCAATCAACCCCATTAACTCTTACCTGTGGCCTGCTGGGGACATTGGCTGAAAGAGAAAACAAAAGAAATCAGTGGAAGGAGCTCTGGTGGCCTTGCTGGTTCCCTGCCCAGAGGCATTTGATTTCTGGAGAGTGTTCCCAGCTCCCAGCTGTTAAATGGGTGCTAATAAGAAAATAAGAAAGCAGAGTAGCGCAGCGGAAGCGTGCTGGGTCCATAAGAAAATAAGAAACAGGTTTTGGTTTTTCGTTTCTTTTCCTTTTCTTTCTTTCTTTCTTTCTTTCTTTTTTTTTTTTTTTTTTTTTTTTTGGCTATGTGCTTTAACAAAGACTAGTTTCTTTTCCCTAGTTTCTCACATCCCATGTCCTTTAAGATATTAAAGTTCTACCAAAATATGCAAAACATATGCTGGCTCTCTCAAGTAAGTACACACCAAGGCATCAGTGGCTAATTAGTTTTGAAAATAAAAATCTCAAAATTTCCTACTGAAATCAGGCCATGCATTTGGTTTACATCTCTGAACAGAGCAAGTTCTACATATTTTGTTGAACAGCATAAATCCTGACCAACAGGTGATGAGGGAAATGAAGGGCATGTGTCTTCAGGTTCTGCCACCCTTGGCTCACCTTGGCCCCAAAGGCCTAGAAAACTGATGGCAATGTGTTTGCTCAAACAGAGGGCTGGACTCACCCTTGGTAGTCTTGTGGGCCCTAAGGCTAATCACTGTGCTTGGAGGGCCCAGTTAGAGAAGGTGAACTATGGTGATAGATTTGCCTTTGCATCTGGACCACTCCATTCCCTCCTGGTTCTAGAAAACACAGCAAATGCAGTTGGCCCATGGGCACTGTGAGGGTGGGCAGAGGAAGCTGGGTTGGGGGGGGGGTGTTCTGCCCCCTCCAGGAGGGTAACATCTGTTCTGGGTCAAATAAGAAACATCCCTAATCAACTACCATGTTGCACTCCTTCCATCTCTCATTTTTTTGTGCTGAGGGGAAAAAAAAAAAAAGAAGAGAGAAAGAGGGAAAACCCATGACCACACAGTGGGTACTTTGTAAGAAAAGCAGAGTAAACAAAGAAGGGCAACTTTATGATGCCTGGAGGGAAAGTGTGAGCCCCCTCCATACCTGAGGGAAGAATGAGGCTAAAATCCAGCCTAGTCCTACCAGATACGTAAGTTACAGCAGGAAAACAAGAGAGTGGATGTCCTTCCCACTGAGCCACACTGAAGGAGCACTCCACTGCATTAGAATTAAGTACAACACAGACACCCACACTTCTCTTCTGCATAGCAGCCAACCCCAACCAGAAATCAAATCCTCTTGCTCCAAATCAGCATCATGAACCCTATAACTATTTATTTTATTTTATTTTGTTTTGTTTTGTTTTATTTTAAGTAGGCTTTACACTGGGTGTGCTTTGAACTCACAACCCTGAGATCAGGATCCAAGCTGAGATCACGAGTTGGACGCTTAACCATATGAGCCACCCAGGCACCCCTCACCCTATAACTTTATACCAAATAAAAGGCTTTGAGTATTCTCCTGAGCAAACCGCACACATCTATTTCTACAAGAAGCCAGGAAATCCTTGCATTTTAGTAGGTTTTGAGTTTGTGATGAACGTCACTCAAGTTTAATACATATGGGCAATTCACAGTGAAAATATGTCCATAGATAAAAAATAATTTTAAAAGCATTTAATGGTCTGTCAGCCAAAAATATTCAGTCCTAGTATCTTGTATATTTGGATGACATAAATGAAAAAACTGAGAAGAATTTACATAAAAAGAAATGTTAGAGCAGCCAGTGAAAATTTTAGTATGTACATTAGTTAATGGGCACCACAATGAAATTCCTTTCATTAACGCCTTGTCAAGAAAAGATGAAAATGCCTTCCTTTCTGCTCTGAAACGTAATGTAAATAATTAAAAGAAGATTTTAAAAGGCAATAATTCAAGGATGCAATCAGGAGCAACCGGGATATTAACTTGAGACAAAAATTCTAAAGTGTTACGCGCTACAGTATACAGACCCAGGAGGGGAAAAATGCCATGTTTAAGTAGGCAATTCATGCAATTAGGATTTACGAATACAGCTTTGTTTTAATTCCAGGATTGCCAGGAGTATAAATTCACTTGTGACCATGCTAATTTTTAATCCACAAAGGATCAAAAGTCAAGATTAACATGCAGATCAATTCACTGTATGCTGGTGACAAGCAGTTTTAAAGTTCTCATTAGTAACAGGGGCTCAAGGGATGGGTTTGGCATTGGGAGAGTGCCAATCTGATTTGCTCAGAAAAATTCTCCAAAGGTGGTCAGGAAGCTTTGGGAATGCAAAGGTTTATTAAAAGACTTGCTTGCTGAGCAACTTAAAAGGGGCAACAAAGGAAATGAATCCTATAAAATGTCTATGTAGTGTCTAGGGTAAACTTTACCAATTAAACCTTCCTGGTTAGAAAAAGGTAATCATTCATTCATTCATTCAATTCAGAAACATGTATTGGGCACAAAGTCTACGGTGCTATTTCTACTTTGCATCAATTTTTAAAAGGTTTAATAATAACTTTAGATGCAATTAAAATATGTATCAGTTTTATAAATAAGTAAATTCATCCCTTATTTCTAGGGAAAGCCATTCTTATCATGGAGATTTTTATATTACCAAAGCAAAACATAGAATATAAATATGAACAAGAGCAGACTAAAGCCAAATAACAGAACCTCAGAAACCAAAAATAGTAAGGCATGAAATTCAGAGGATTATAAAGACACCATTCATCATTTCTTACATGGGATATACTTGAACTCTTCAGAATAACATAGGACTAGTAATGCTTGTGCATGGAAAATTATAACTAATGTGAAAAATCTGTGGATGTACGATTGTAAGACTAGGAGAACATGGAGCCACTGTCCCATGAAGGAATCTTAGGGCACGGGTGGCAAGGGCACCAGGCAAAGTAGGAGTTTAACCTGTCGTGAAGGTCCCACTGAAGGGATACGTTTGTCTCAGGAACCAATGATATCTATTAATCATTAATGAGATTCCAACCAATAGGAATTTTATATGTACCTTTAAGGGAAGCCATAAAGTGAGATGAACATATTTATCTCTTTTTTTCTTTATTTTTGTCTTATTCTTATGATTATCATTTATATTTAATTACATTCTCTTCCAAAATAAGACAGATTAGTCTTTTATACTATCTAGATATAAGAATATACTACAGAAAAGATTTAAGAGTCATTGCTTTATGACAAACTTTAAAAAATGACACATTATGCATTTTTAATACAAAAATGTGAATATGGAAACTATACATCCATAGTCACTGTAGAGCATTTAATTCAACATACTTTCCACCTTAACTCTCTGACAACTGACTTTCAGATTGAACATGTCCATCATAACATTTAAATGTAAACTTCTAAACAGGCTTTGGTTGATAGAATTTGTTCTTCACTAATTATTAATGTATTTGGATTTAAGCTGAACTAAAAAGTAGTTTCACTTAGAAATTTAACCTTTAAATTCTAGGTTTTACAGTGACTATGATGAGTTCTTGTCTAGCTATTAAGTAACATACAACCCTGAATTAAAATCTCTAGAAAATCCAACCTTAATATGAATGACATAATGTGCTCATCTACTGTGTCCCTTAGCCTAGAATAGAAGCAACAATCTGACGGCACACGGGCTTCAAATGGCCTTCTTAAGCCTCTGCGAGAGTCTAGAGGGCCAAAAAAGTGTGTGTGTGTGCATGTGTGCGCACATGTTTTTTGGGGAGTGAGTGTGGGGACTGACAGATAGTAAATACAGTTCATGAAACTTTGAGAAGTATAGTTACAGACAGTAAATGGAAAATGACACATTCCAAATATAAATGTATTTACGTGTTTATGGAAACTGCACGATGTGCTTTAGGCAAATACTTCTGAAAATTCAGGGAAGACTATATTTCAAATAGCTATTTCTGCTTTCTGCTAATGATGGCATTTTTATAAACTGTAGAATTGTATAAGCTGAAGCATATTTTTTTTAATGAAGTCAATGTATCTTATTTAACTACCTTCCTAGTAATGCCTTTTTTCATCACTTAAGATGGTATCTTCTAAGGACAGGATGAAAAAGGGTGATGTAAGAAGCTCTTTTATAGATATACTACTACTACTACTACACACACACACACACACACACACACACACACAAATATACATATAATACATATATATATCATATAATACATATGGTAGTGTATGTACATGCCAAAATCTTAACTTAGTGGCTGCCTAGGTATAAAAATCAATTTGAGAGGAAATCACACTAAAAATCATAAATAAAACATTTCTATTTCTTTAAGAGATTATTTAAAATAAACTGCAGCATGGAGCAGTATTGCACACATGCAAGTAAGTGGCCTCTATTGGAAAGAGCACAAGTGATTCTTGGGAAAGCTCACGGGGAGGTGGCAAGAGGCTGAAGTAAAAAAGTTTGGTAAAAAAAATCAATAAATAAGAACATTATGTAATTTCCTCTGGGATTTGGGCTGCTTTCATTTGATTATTTTCTAGCTCTTGGTTGTTCATATGGAAAAGTCACAGGGTTATAATCTGCGATGTCTTCAATTATTTGGCCTTTATGCACGGACTATTTTATTCCATGAGGAAAGAAACCAGAGAAAGAAAATAAAAGAGAGAAAAAAAATCTGAAAATAATCCCCTTCTAGAACTGAATCTGATGACATCAGAGAATAATGTCTGAAGCGAAGAGAGTGCAGGTGCCTGGCTGGCTTAGTCGGGGGAACACAGGACTCTTGACCTCAGGGTTGTGGGTTCAGACCCCACACTGGGTGTAGAGATGACTTAAAAATAAAATGTTTTTTAAAGAAAAAAAGAGAATTACATCAGAAAAGGTTATTTTCATGCCTTGTTTGGTATGCCGCTAAAAGCTCTTTTTTGACGAAATAACATGTTTGTTACGAGAGTTTGCACTAGACAGGAAACTTCTCACAAAGGGGTTTGTCTTGTTTGCCTTCACGATATTATCCGTCAGGCACAATGAAAGCGCTCCGAGAGCAGGGTCCTCACCGCAGCCCGGGGACGTGACAGCATCCAGCCTGCGCTTCATTTCCTTTGTCAACATGTAGAATGCTTGATTTCTTTCTAAATAATATTCAGTCCTGTTTCTCCTATTGGTTTTTGCTATCCTACCAAAGAAGACAGAGGGCCCCAAGCAGGAAAAAAGACATGGACGGGAACAGCGTCCTGATGGTGTTGGGGTCCTTCATACTCACGGCAGCAAGATGGAAAAGTACTGTTGATCTGCTCCATAAACTCCGTGAGGTCCGTGCCAGTGTCCTGTGGGGGAGCCAGCAGGTCCTCCGCTGCTGCGACAGCAGAGAAAAAGAACAATATCAGGCCTTCCACCAAAACCCAACATGGGCAGAAAACACGAATCCTGGCCTCTATCTATATAGCAAAGTGAAAATCATTCTCCTTAAATCAACAATTTTAGGCAATAAACCATTTTTGTATTAATTTGTTGGTAATATAATTTCATATCAATAAGATGTATTAGATGTTTCTGTTGGAAGCTTCCATGTGCCAGGGGCACATTTATGAATGAAAAGTAATGTGGTTATATTATTTTAATATATTAGACAGAATGCCATTATTTTACACTCTGTTTTTCCATATAAAAAATTCTGTCAGTTTCTTTCTCCTTCCTTCTTTATTCTTGGAGACTCTGGCACGGGCTGGCTTACACTGACACAAACGTAGAGGTGTTTTAGAAGATACTTGTTACTTTGATGTCTTTTATTCTACAACCAATAAATAGCAAAATAAGTCACTTATTTAAAACAATTAAAATAACATTAATATTTTAGGTTTTCCTCTAATATAACAAAAGATATCTTAAATACAAATTAATTTGATTAAAATATGTGGTCCTCAGTAAAACTTTAGAACTTAAATTTCATCAATAACAAAATGTCATTCCTGAATGCTGGCTGACAGAGTCCTTCTAGCAGCAGCGACATGCCCCTTTGTGACTAAAGACAGGCTGGGTGAGACCTTGGCAATAATGGGGGCAGGGGAGGTGGCAATGTCTATAAGGACTAGCATGGAAAAAGCAGAGCATTCAGTTCCCACACCTGGGCAGAGAAAACCCTTCTTGGTATAATATACTTTAGGATGATATCCTGAATATGTACAAATATAAATTTTAGAGATGGAAAATATATTTAAAAAAAAAAGAATCAGGGGCGCCTGGGTGGCTCACTGGGTTAAAGCCTCTGCCTTCAGCTCAGGTCATGATCCCAGCGTCCTGGGATCTAGCCCCACATCGGGCTCTCTGCTCAGTGGGGAGCCTGCTTTCTTCTCTCTCTCTCTGCCTGCCTCTGCCTACTTGTGATCTCTGTCAAATAAATAAATAAAATCTTTTAAAAAAAAAAAAAAAGTCATTCTGAAGGCAAAGCAAAAAGTAAATTGTTGCTCATACCAAAAGGAAAGAGCACTTTTTTTCATCTTTTGTCGAAATTCAATCCACTACTACATATTATAGAAGCAAATACATTATAAATGATTATTCTAAGATGTTTACTTTTTTCATGTTGCTAAAAAGTCTTTATATGCAGCTGAGCACAAAGGGAATATGAAAGTCCTTTATGCTCTAAGACACTGGTGAGTAAGAACACTATTTAAAATGAAAGAGAGGGGCATCTGGGTGGCTCAGTGGCATCTGCCTTTAGCTCAGGTCATGATCTCAGGGTCCCAGGATGGAGCCCCATATTGGGTTCTCTACTCAGTGGGGAGCCTGCTGTTCCCTCTGCCACTGCCTGCCACTCCCCCTGCTTGTGCTCCCTCTTTCACTCTCTCTGTCAAATAAATAAATAAATAAATAAAATCTTTTAGAAAAATAAAAAAATAAATAAAACGAAAGACAAGCAAGTGGCGACGCTCAGAGCAGAGCGGGGAGTTAGCCAGGTCTCGGAGACACCAACCTGCTTGGTGGAACTGAGGGCCAGGGTCGGGATCCAAGGAGTAGCTCAGGGCAGCCTGCTGAGGCGAAGCCCAGGGGGAGACGCCGTTGATTCGGGGATCAGGTTCAGGCTGCAATCACATTCAGAGGTTACAGCAGAGGAAGGACTCAAACAATTGCTAAGGAAAACATTTCTGTTTCTGACTTCCATGGATGATTAAATCATGTCAAGTTCTTCAGCCGCAGACGTTTAGAGTACCTGTTTTCATCAGTTCGGTGGGCTCACCACTACTTCCCCTGAGTGCTGAGTGGTCTGTCCCCTTCGACTGGGGCTCCTAGAAGAGCTCAGCTGGTTATAACGTGAGATATATTTATCAATGTCAGCTTCATCCCTCCATTTTTCTCTCCATGATGCTCAACCAAGTGAATTTAGAAAAGGTTTCATTCATCTTTAAAAAAGGAGCACCATTTCTCATACAGTAATTTCATCCAATTTCAAAATCAGCTCACTTCTTTACTTAAATCAATATTTAGGGCCACACTGGAGACGTAAGGACACAACTTTGGATTCCCATGCTTGAAACTCTGCCACTCAGAACCTACCTGATTCTAAGCAAATTTTATAACCTTTGAGGCCTTGAATTCTGTATTTATAAACTGGGGATGGTAAAAAGAATGCTGGTGTCAAAGGGATTTGTGAGGAGGGTGATCAGTTAGGATTTCCACTGAGATTATTAGAACAGAATCTGACACATAGTAAACACGTTGTAAACCCACTCTACACAAAGCTTTGAAATGGTCCTGGATACACTGACAAGTATGTGCTCAAATTAGAAAGTGTCATCCATTTTACAGGGAACGCAGAAATTACAATGTTTTTGATGCCGATTTTTCCATTAAATTTGTATTAGTTGAAGTCTGGTGGTTTTGCCAGTTTTTACTGTCAGGTGAATTTTCCATCTACTTCTGGCATTCATACTAAATCATTAAGAAGAGATAAGAGGTCCACAGTCTGGGATATACAGAGCCATTTAGATATCGGCTATCTCTAAAAGCATTACTGTGCAATTCTGAAGGCACATGAGCCATTAGGCAGCTCTGTCTAATGGGATGGAGAGAGTCGGGGGAGGGGAGGGGAGTAATGGAAACAGAAGAGCCGTTAGCTCTCCAACGGGCTATGGCAAATAAAGGTTTCAAGCACAGCTTCCCGCTGCAAAGATTCTATCGCTGCACTAGGTTAATAATAACACTTCATATTTTAAATCAGAGATTTTAAGAGAAAATTCATCCCTCACACAGGCACCACAGAGAAACTTCAAATTCATAGTGCTTATAATGTGGCACCAGAGAAGACTCAAACATTCCAGAAGGCTTAGGGAAAGCCCAGCTTTGGGGCACTCTAGGGAAACTACTGTTTTCTAACGATGCACAATTTGGAGACCCAAAGTGAGCCTTCCCTAAAATGGTCCGATGCAAATCCTGAAATAGCAAAAGACACACAGAAAAGTATATGGTTTAAAGGTGAAATCTCTGGCCTGCTGTGTAGGTAATGCAGAAATCACACTGTTTGGGATGATTCTGACAAGTTAAAAGATACTGACAGCAACTGTGACAAGATGGTTTTCTGACATTTGAGAAGATCACTGGAGGAAAAGTTGCTTCTGCCTTTGGTTGGAGAAATCCTTTCTGGAGAAAAGCACTGCCTAGTCACTGCCTGGGACCCCACACTACATAGTCCAGAGAAAGATGACATGAATGTTGATGTCAAGGATTCTTCAAGAAAGAGAAAGTCTAGCCCCATCTGTGGGGATTCTACCCAATATGCACCTGCTACCCAGACATCTTCCTAATTCTGTGACGTGACTTCTATTCTTTAACTGCTAGATGTAATCAAGTACTTAATCCTCTATAGTGTTGTGTCTTTATGTGCGATACTATCTTATTGTAATATTGTACAATCTTGCTTTGGTCCCGAATAAGACTGCAAACACCAAGAAGGCAAAAACTGCGTCTGATGTTTCTTATATATCCAAAGAAGAGTATTTTTCAAAACTGCGGGCTAATATCCACTGATGAGCTATAAAATTAATTTGGTAGGTGCCAACCAGCACAAAGAAAGAAAAGAGAAAGAGATGAAAAATGGGAGGAGGTACAGAGAAACACAGGAAAGAAGAGAGGAAGAGAGGAAGGAAAAAAGGAAGGAAGGGAAGGAGGGAGGAAGGAAGTTAAAAAAATAGAAAATAAGGGAATTTTTTTATAACGGCAATTATTATGCTGTATTCATCATACAGGTATGCATTCATCATAATGTAAGTTGTATTTCTTATTGTCAAGAAAGTGTGCAAACAATTGCCATAAACCATGGCCTGAAGTTAGGAAACAACAGCTGCACATTAATAAGCACCTGCTACTGAATTTCATGAAAATAGTTCCCTGGAAGAAAGGCTTTAGCATAAAGAGCTCCAATGGCTTCCTTCCCCTTACAGCATTCCCACATGTAATTTACACGGATGTATGTTACAGGGTCTCTTCCCTTAAAGGATTCAGAGCTGAGACAGATTTCCGTGTGGTAGAAGAATGGGAAATTCCATCTTAAGTGGGGCAAACACACTTCTGGAGTAGTGGCGGATGGGGTGCTTCCATTCGAAGAGTGGAAGTAAGCATGGAGGTGGGAGGCCGCAAGTGAGCCTCTCTGCTGACACTGGGACCACCCCACCCCCTACCAGAGACTGAGTCCCACACACTCTACCTGCTCCAGCAGCTGGCGAAGGCGGTGGAGTTGAGATTCAAGCTGCTTATTGTGATCTTCTAAAATCTGCATCCTAGCCTCCAGCCGACCTTTGTGCTGCCGGAGGAGTTTTGCTTCTGCTATGAGTTCTGAGTCCTCAGATGCGTGGTGAGGAGACACGACAGTGTCCGGAGGTGACCCGACGGGGAGCCCCCTTCTCAGGTGCTGCTCCTTCAGCTGCTCATACTCCACCTGCAAGTTTCTAGTGCAGAAAAGCAAAAACTGGAATCACCACCACGTGCATTGTCTTCTCTCTCAAACTGCCCACGAGCTCCAGATTTAACTCCAGCTCCTTCTTTCTTCTTAGGTAAAAACATCTATGAACAGTGAAATAAGTAAGCAGGAACAACACTCTAGCTTTAAGCAGGTGTTCTAACAGACGTCACCCCTCTGGGAACCCACCCGTGTGTGATCTTTAGCCAGTGCCCTAGCTTGTTAGCCTACCCTAAAACTTGGACTCCACCTGGGTTTCTTAGAACACACTTCTGAAAGGAAAATGGGTAGGGATCATATTGAAAGTATGATTCAAGACTTTCCTTTTAGGAGTTTGCCCAGGGGGACAGAGCTTCCTCTCCCAGGTCAGACGCACCTTTGTTCTTCCTCCAAGTCGGCAATGATCCGTTCCAATTCTCCACGTTCTTCCCGTTCTACCGACTTCAAGATCTGAGCAGGACTCTGGGGCTGGCTGACCGGGGACTCCCCTCCGAGCGTCTGACAGTACTGTTGGATGAGGGCATGTTCATCCTCCCTAGGGAGACAAAATGGACACAGGCTATGGCACACATCTGGAGGTGGATGTCTCTGGTTGTAAGGGAAGTAGAAACAATGATGATAGGATGATAGGGATGGCAGCTGGGCTCCATGTCCCTCTAACATCCCTTTAAAACTCTAGGAAGGGGATGCCTGGGTGGCTCAGTCAGTAAAAATCTGCCTTCCGCTCAGGTCATGATTCCAGGGTCCTGGCCCAGATCGAGTCCCACGTTGGGCTCCCTGCTCAGTGGGGAGTCTGCTTCTCCCTCTCCCTCTGCCTGCCGCTCCCCCTGCTTGTACACTCTCTCTCCCTGTCAAATAAATAAAATCTTTTAAAAAGGTAAAAATAAAAACATGAAGTGCTAGAAAGATATTTATCTAAAAGGTATGTGTACTACACATACCAACAACTTTATGCTTTGCCTTAGACTAACCTGTATATATCACAAAACCTCAGAAGAGATTCTATTCAGCAGATGTACCAAAGAAGGTCCACCACTTATGTAGTTAATAGAAAAGATACTTTAGGCAAAATCAGCAACTGAATACTAAATGAGTAGATTAAAATATTTAATTAAAAAAAAAACTGTTCTAGACTGTTTGTAGACCCCCAAAACTCATAGATGGAAGCCTAACTCCCAGTGTGAATGGCACTAGGAGGCGGGGCCTTTGGGAGGTGATTAGGTCATAGGGGTGGAGCTTCATGGACAGGATGGGTGACCTTAGAATAGAGTCCAGAGAGCTGGCTTCCCATCTCTGCAACATGAGGACACAGTGAGAAGAGAGCCATCTATGAACCAGGAAGAGGGCTCTAACCAGATTCCAAATCTGCTAGGACCTTGATCTTGAACTTCCCAGACTCCCAAACTGTGATAAATAAATGTCATTTCTAAGCTGCCCAGCCTATAGTATTGCATTATGGCAGCCCACATGGACTAAGGCCTAAAATGATTTCACTGGCTTTAGCGTTTGGCTGAAAGCCATCTTGCAATGCTTTGTAACCCACAGAATGGTAGAATATAATCCTCCTACCCTTTCATTTAAAAAACATAGCAAAAATTTTAACTGTAGATATTTATAAAATATCCACAGATATTTTACTTGATATTATCAGCATATCTTCACTAGGATCAATCATTCTGCATTAAAACAAGAAACTACAGGTCCTTAAACCTAGACTCTCCTACTTTTCTAACTACTCGTCTAATGAATTAGACACATGAATCATGTGGTAGAATCTAACGGTTGCCAGAGACAGAAGCATAACGAGATAGACAAAACTGGTACATTCTTGAGAAGGAAGGGCCTGGGAGCCCTTCTCTTCCTTTATGGGGAGATCCAGTCAGATCTCCCTGGAATCACACAAAGGACAGACTCCCTGGCTCCTGCCACCTGGAGTCTCTAGCTATGGAGTGAGTACTTCAGCAGATTGGAACTGGGCTGTTTTCACTGTGTCTGGTAAGCAAATCCCGGAATCTATGGATGTATAGGATAGGGCTTCAGGAAAACAACATGTAAGTAGCGCTGAGGGTATAAAATAGAGCTCTGTCATGACTGTACCAGCCCGTCTGACAGTGATGTGCCTGCAAATGTCCCTTAGAGCCCTCGTCTGTGGCACTGGGGTCAGAGCACACTCGACTGCAGTCCCAGAGAGTCTGGGGAGCGGTGGAGGCCCTCTGGGACCTCAGACTGGTGCCTGGCAGCTGCCAGGAAGCACCCAGTTCTCGAGGTAGGATCTTTGATTCCTCTGAGTCCAACCTGAAAATGCAACCCGGTGTGATCACAGTTTACTGCGATGAAAAGGGGACTTGAACTTGCATCTGAGAGTTAGTGAACGTATAGAAAAGAGGTGTCCTGAGCCTTGATGGCAGAGTGATATGATGAAGCAAAGGAGAAAAATGACTGTTATCCCAGCAGAACAGCCAAAGCAAAGGTTCAGATGAACTACTGATTGATTTCTTTTGTTCCTTTATTGGTAACCTCTCCCTCTCTCTAAGTTTATACATGGAGTATGTGTGGACACACATTTAACAAAAATAAAGGTCATGCACGTTGGTTAGGAGCACAATATAACATTGATATTGAACCTCACCATCCCTCTATCAAATTCAACGGGGAAGGGGTAGAACCATCACCACCCAGTGAGAAACCGGAAATAAGGAACATGGATGGGATAAAGACTGAAATAAGCTAGAAATCACCCTTTGATGACCTTTCTGGAGAAAATGCAGTGTCACTGAAAAATAAATAAAGGAGGCTCTAGAAGAATTGCATGCTTATTCCTAACTGTGGAAGGATGAGGATATGAGGAGGGAATAGGTAGAAGACCAGGGCAGAGTAGCAGCATTTAAAAGACCCTGGGCTGCCTGTGTCGCTAAGTCAGACAGAAAGGGTATGTGTGAGGAGTGGGCATTTTCCTGATGGGAAATATATGGCCAATACCCTAAACCTAATTCATTCATTCACTCACTCCCTCATTCATTCATTCATTCATTTATTCATTCCATGCCCAGGGTGGAGCCCCTCATGGAGTTTGAACTCACGACCCTGAGATCAAGACCTGAGCTGAAATCAAGAGTGATGCTTAACGACTGAGCCACCCCGGTGCCCCACTAACCCTAACCATTATGAAGGACAGAGGCTGGTGATCAGGCTATCGCATCAGCATGCGGGGACACCAATTAGCTGCTAAGGATGGCAAGACGTTAGGTCAGTGATCCTTATCACGGCCAGTGTTTGCAGGCACTTTATCCAGTTCAAGTAGAGACAGAAGTAATAGCAAGAGAGGATAAAAAGTAGAGGTCTAAAATATGGAGAGGAAAAATACAAGGCATAAAGATACAGTGGGCATAAAGTAAAGGAATAGCAAAGTAAGGGTATAATGCAGTATTTTGTAACTATTCCTCAAGCTGAAAAAAAATGTATAGAAACTAAAAAGGCTGAGTATCGAAAAAAATTAAGTAATTAATAACAAAAGAAAAAACCCCATGAAATTTCTCTATTTTAAGGATAAAGCGTCTCAAGCAATCAATCAGAAGTCAAAACAAAACAGTAACTCTTGCAAGAGAAGCAAAAGGTTTAGCTTCCCGCGCTCTAGAATATCTGATGTCAAAAGGCTAAGGAGCAAGGTCTAGAGTCCTAACCCAGCCATTCCTGTGACCAGCCGGACCATGCAAATGTCCAGCGAAGCATTCTGTCCATGAAGCAGAAGAACGAACGAAAGAACAAGCAAGGATAATGCAAAACAGAACAAAAGTAGATGTTAACCCTCAGGTATTTCAATAAATAAGAAGTAAACTGATGTTCACTTTGGTTAAAAAAGCCACCATATGAATCCTATGAACAATTCACCTAAAAGGAAATGAAGGACTAAAAGTAAAAGTTTAAAAAGTATAAAATAAAAACAGGAAGAGTCAAAAGAAAACTCAAAGCCTGTAGCTATCTGGGTCGGGGGGGGGGGGGTGTCCCTATGACTTGATCATGGATCCTAGCCCGGAGCTCCTGCCCTGTCACAGGCACCATCAGACCCCTGAGTCCCTTAGAACATTTGTCCCAGCAAGTATCTGATTCAGGGGCTATACTCAGTGCTCAGTATTAGCACCTACTAGTGTTCTGTTTTCAAGATTTGGGGACTAGTGTCTGTGAAACAAATTCATACACAAACAAGTCAAAATTAGATCTGAGATAAATTTTGTTATAAACATTGACATAGCTTCATTTCTTCTAGGGAGTTGATAGAGTTTAAATTATTACTGTAATCACCATCATCTCCACTATCATTATATCCTTTCATTGAGGTATCCAAAAGGGATTTAAGGCAATTTCTTAAAAAAAAAAAAAAAAAATCATTTATGTATAACATATAATTTCAGCCTCAAGTATTTCTCAGATTATTAGTTCTAAGAGTTAAATATAAAAGTAAATACATTCAAGTTCTTAATTATACATAGTAAAAACCAAGAGCATACCCTTGAAAGACAGATAGTACATGAGGTACCAGATGAGGGCCCTTACATGTCAATAGTGCTAAAATAGAAAAGGTTGCAAAAATATAAGTCTGCACCACTGAAATACCATTAAATGGAATATAATTATATATTTAAGTCACACATGGTAAACACCATCTAGATTACAAAATTAGTATGTATCAGATGACAAAAGGACTGTGAGTCATTCAATGACCTTTTGAAAGTAGGCAAGACATAAACAAAAATAACAATAATTTCCCTCCTCTCAAGGATTATTCTGTTCTAGGCTTCAGAGGTGCAAACAGCAATGCCACTGCAAATCAGACCCCAGTTTGATCTTTGCACATAAGACAGTGTCACTCAAGGGCAGGTAGCAGATGGAGGGAGACACCCTAATGGCAATTGTCTAAGGATCTGCCCTTGGGTTCCCAAGATTCCCCACAACTATCCTGGGTCCTGTTTTGGTTTGTCATGGGTGTGCAATTCCTCCTTCAAAGAAAATTATTATCCTCAAAATTACTGGCTTTTTAATTTGTCCAAAGGCAGACTTTTAGGAGGAAAGGGAGCACCGGGAATTGGGTCTATGTGGGGGAAGAGCCTTGGGACTGATTCATGTCTGGGTTGGGGAGGCAGCTGCCCATAAGGCATGGAAATGCAACAATGAATTCACCAGCTTCACAGGAAGAATGCTGTCGGGAGCCAGGGACTTGGTTCCATAGACCAATCTGAGGGACAGGGAAAGGCCCAAACTGCAGGGCAGGATGGCTGCTTTTGAAGATAATAATGACTACAAAGACCTTGGATTAAAATCACAAGTTCAAATTTCAAAATTCACACCTGAAAGTATTAGGATTTCTTTTATCACCTACAGTTGAGATCATCCCAAACCACATTTAGGAGATCAGTCTTGGAGGTACGGAACTAAAATATCTTCTAATTAGGTCTGAACTGTGAAGCCGAGGTGTGGATGGAGAATGGCCAGGATTGGGACAAGGAAAGTGATGACCTCAAGGAGGACTGCAGATGCTCTGACCTCCCCCATCCCCACCCCCACTGCGGGGCTCCCATCTGGGAAGCCTTCCCTTCCCACATAGGGGAGGCGTAACAGTGAGGTGGTCAGCGGAGCACCTGCGGCTGCCTGGGTCTGAGTCCCACGACTTACTGACGAGTGAGACCCTGAGCGAGCTCCTTACCCTCTCAGTGTCTCAATGTACTCATCTGTAAGATGGTGGTCACAGAAACAAGAGTAGCATCTCAAGGGGTCTCAGAGGATTAAAGAAGCAAGGACAGATGAAGAGCTTAGAGCAACAGAATATTCACAGAGGGAGAGTTGGTGGTTGTTTTTGTATCACCCCTGTTGTTATTCAAGAGACCTAATGACATATTTATGACCTATTGGAATAACAAAACCTCCGCTCAAAGGACCTGAAGGAAAGGTTGAGAATTCAGGAGTGAGAAAAATTCCAAAATGTAATGTAGAAGTTTGCTATTACTTTTATTTTTTTGGCTTAAGGCACTCTGAGTTAGCTTTCAATTTTTCCCAACAACAATACAATTGCTAATCTTCTGATGCTGGTACCTCAAGATGGACCTATGAGTGAAGCAGAAGAGCCAACGCTTCCTTAAGAAGCCACCAATCCTCGCTCCGAAACGGATGATCCTAGTGACTGGAAACTGTCCTCTATTGTCTCAGGATTGTGTTAAGACCCTGTCAGTGCTGGAGCTTTAGGAAATTTCCAGGGAAAGGCCAGGGTTGGAGTATGTTATGTACTTACTGCTACTACAGTAAGGTCCTGTAGGAAGCAAGAAAGCTGAAAGCAAAGAAGGAAGAGCACAGCATCCTGTTCAAAGCAGTGAAGATTTCTTCCTGTGTCTTGTGATCCAAGATGCTAATTTATTAGATGTGGAAACAAATAAGGACAGCCGGAGGAATAAACAGTGGGGCTGGGTTCCTAACCTTTCCATCACAAACCCTGTGGAGTCCCATCAGCCTGAAGGAGGTAAGAAGCACCCTTCTGGTAAGACTCTATCCACTGGGAGGAAAGGTATTTATTGCAGTATGTGGAATCCTATTCACAGTGTCAAGTCAGCAGTACCGGCTAAAATGGAAATGCTTACATGAGTAAGTGTTATACAGTGAAGTGAGCAAAGGTGACCACTCCAAGTCTAACCGGTGGGTTCCCCATCCAGCGCAGGGCTTCAAGGACTCAGAGTCCTCATTCGCAATCTCACTGGAATGGGAGAATCACTGCCATAGTCATGGGAAAAGAACCCCAGAATACTCAGTAATTCAAACTGTGACAGAGCAAAGGACTTCCAGGACTGGCTTTATCAAAATAAGGTTTATTAACATAGTCCCTGAGAAAATATGAACGCACCAGTGACTGGAAAACGAATTCTCTTTAGTGGCTGACAGATACATTCTTATGCTATTAATTTAACTGAATATTACATTTAAGGGAGAATTTCTTTCCTTGCCTTTTCCAGTATCAGAGGTCACCTGCATCCCTCTATTTGTAAAGCCAGCAGCGTGGCGTCTGCACATCTCTCTGTAGCTGACCTTTGCTTCTCTGGCTATATCTTTCTCTAACTGACTCTCCCCCACTCTTATAAGGACTCATGGGATGACATGGGGTGCACTTAAATAACCTAGGATAAGCTCCCCAACTCAAGATCTTTAACTTAATCACATGTGCAAAGTCCCTTTTGCCATATAAAGAGACCCATGAATAGCTTTCAGGAATTAGGATGTGAAGTTCTTTGGGGGTCTTGATCTGTCTCTCAAAAATGCCCTCCAGGGGTGCCTGGGTGGTTCAGTCATTTGAGCATGGGACTCTTGGTTTCAGCTCAGGTCAGGATCTTAGGGTCATGAGCATTGGGCTCTGTGTTTAGTGGGGAATCTGCTTGAGATTCTCTCTCTCCCTCTGCCTTTCCCCGTTTACACACACACACACACACACTCTCTCTCTCTCTCCTCCTCAAATAAATATACCTTAAAAAAAAAAATGCCACCCAATGTTCTTCCTCTACAAACACTTATCAATGGTTCTTTCCTTGAGCCAGTAAAATTCATGGATATAGTAGTTACATCTGTGGACTTTGACCCCACTGGGTATGTGCCAGTGGCACACTGATAAACATTTAAGGAGTTTTCCAAAAAAACAAAGGAATAAAATGGTCCTGAATTGTAGCTTTTGCCATTTCTAGGGTTTAAATACTTTCATCAAGGCCAATATCAAGCTAATGACTTTACTGAAATGTAGAGTTTGGAAAAGATACACAGTTGTACACCATCTGACAAATACAATAAATTACTCCAAGAACACAGATAATAGTAAAACGAAGTAGAGTAATGAGGGCATGATAGCATTTGAGTATGACTTTTGTTTTCATTTGAATCTAATTTAGTTAATTGTAAGTGTATACGAATTAATTACTATAATGGTTCTGTTTAAAAAGAGCTTAAAAAAACTTCTTGAAAATGTACAGCGGGCTCTTATACTGGCTCTAACACACCACAGATGGTAGATACATAAGAAATATTTGTTGGACAAGATGAATGAGTTAATGTAGCTATATGATCGTATATTAAAATGTATTCAGCTGTTAATCATCTGATTATTTTTTCTTTTTCTCAGACAACAGTATTAAATTTTAAAATAGTGTTTATTCTAACTTGAAGACAGATGTGCTAAATTTGAGCATTACCTTCACTCTGTTCACAGGACATGACCAACACCTTTTAAAGAATTTAAATTTGATTTTAATTATTTTGGTTTTAATGATTATTTTGTGTTCCATCTAATTCTTTGACTATTATCAACCTTGTGGAAATCATTTAGAGGCTACTCAAGGTATCTAACTACTTTATATAAAATATATACTAGTAGCTAAATAGAAACAAACATTATAAATGTGCTATTATCTTGGTTTGGGAATTGTTTCATATTCATAGTACATGAATAATAATGTATAAATCACTACTGTATTCCTGTAAAGTATTAACAGGATAATGTTTGAAATTTAAAATTGAAAAACCTCCTGACATTTTTATTTATAAGCTTAATGATAGTAAAACAGTTTTTAAAACATCGATAGAGAGGCGCCTGGGTGGCTCAGTGGCTTAAGCCTCTGCCTTTGTATCAGGTCATGATCTCAGGGCCCTGGGATTGAGCCCCACATCGGGCTCTCTGCTCAGCAGGGAGCCTGCTTCCCCCCGCCCCCGCCTGTCTCTGCCTACTTGTGATCTCTCTCTCTCTCTCTGTCAAATAATACATAAATAATCTTAAAAAAAAAGGATATAAAACATTGATAGGGACTTATTCTATATTAGAGTGGGTAAGGTACTACAACTTGGCTCTCTCTGTGATTTTTTTTAGTATAAAACACCTGAGTACTATGTTCTGTAACTTCCCTGGCCGCCTTACAGCTTCCCACCAGATGCAAACAACAGAGAACTTACCTAACAAGTAAACTTGACATTACTGAAACCTTTTAGACATCATGCAAAATAAAAAATTCTAAAGGGGGGTGGGGGAAGAAGTTCCAAAGCAAGACAACACATAATAGTAAGACAATCAGAGATAAAATATTTGCCTAGAAAGTTTTTAATTATCTTTGTAAAGTCAATGAGACTTTTCCTAATTGCTAATATAATAAAATATTGGCAGAGGAAATAACACTTTTCAGCAAAGAGTGGGGAGTTACAGGTCCAAGCTTGTGTGGGTCATAGTTGTTAAATGGCAGGGATTATGGAGAAAAAGTGAGCCAACAGACAGAAGAGGATTTTATAGAAGGGCATGTGTTCTGTGGAAATACATTTGTCGAATCAAAAAGAAATATCTGACAAATGGAACGAATATCTATACACATATTTATAAATAGAACAGTCTGATCTTTCTGAGGGAAATTAGTTGACAAATACAGGATTTTTTCATTAACTTATATGAAACTAAATAAACATATCCAATTTATATTATCATGGCTTGAAAGCGTAAAATCTATCTAGACATTTCTATAACCACACTTATCAATTTTGATTGGGATCAAATTCAGAGCCATAATCAATGAAGATTATTTCCGACAGCCATGACAAGACCTGGCCTTCCCCAGCAGTGCTAATTTCATGATCTACTTACACACTTCCTGTGGTAGAGCTGCTATCAGTGAGGAAAGATCCATTAGTCCTTTCCATCTGGGCCAGCCTGAAAAATGAAAATAAAGAGGTTCCATCACATGGCCCCAGATGGCATGGTCAACTGAGGTACTTTCTCTGTCATTCTCAAACCGTCATAATCCTGACAAAATAAGAAAAGGCCTAGATCTCCTAATAAGATTGGAATTTAAAACAACATCGAATGTTGAGCTACCTCTCAATCACCACTGCCTTCAGGCTTTGTAGGTCTTCATCTTTTACCATGCTATATAGACCCTTAATTCACCTAGGCTCCTAACTTATCTCCCAGGCCCTACAATGGGTCTCCATTCTCACAAATCTGATTATGCTCCTCTCATGTCTAAGGACTCACCAAACCCCCCTTTACCTAAGATATAACCCAACTCCTTAGCAAGTGGGGCTTCAAACCAGATCTCAGCTTCTATTCCTTCATTCCTCACTCCTTACTCCTTTAAACAAGCCATGTTCGTTCCCAGCTCAGTGCTTTTAAGTATGCTTTTCCATTAGTATAAGCCTACCCTTTCCCAGAAATTCTATCTGGCCAAGACACAGTTCAAGTATTACTATTTATACGATGCTTGAACTAACCATTTTAGGAAGAGCTAGTTGCTAGCCCAAGAGACACTTCCTATGCACTTCTTTTCTGAAAGTTTGTGCATGCCAGCAAGACCACCCTATACTCCATATTATTCAGGGACTCTAAAATAAACCTCTATTATAATGCATTAACATACATTTAATTATATATTGTAATTCGTATGTGCACAATCTCCTAAGAATACTTTCAGTTCCTATGCTCATTCATTGAAATAGGTTACAGTATCGAAATCCTGCTTGTCTAGCATTTGGATTCTCATGAGCTCCATAATCACATGCCACAGAGATTCACTCTCCCCTGACTGTACAGCAGGTGTTTGGTAAAGCACAAATCACAACATGGAAAGATGAGAACCCAGATTCCAAATATAATGGAGCCACGACTCTTGCAAAACATCTCTTAAATCAAGGCACACCAATGACAGAGGATTCATACAGAAATAGATACATTCTGGGGGGCAGCACAGGGGAGGGCTCCTATCAAGGCTTCTTACCGTGTGGCATACTGTTCAATTCTGGAATGGGTGTCATCATGAAACAGCTGAGGAGACTGTGAGGGGCTATCAAAGAAAAAGCAAAGAAATGGTTTTATGCCTAAATACTGATAGACGTTACTATTAGGACTGTTAGCTTAAACAGTGAATTTGCCATGCAAACAAACCATGAAGATTGTTACCCAGGAGGCAGACCATTCTTTCAGTGCAAAAGTTTTGTAATTAGCCCCATGCTAATGACACCGATCAGAGTACCAGTAGTGGCTCCGGGGACAGAGCTGTGAATACTCACTCATAGTGCTCCGGCCACATGCTGATCAGTGTGACAGGACTGCAGAGGGGGAGAGGGAAACAGAAGTCACAGAACTAGCACTTGAGAGACATTGCAGACAAAAGCAGTGGGAAGCTGGAGGAGAAGACATTCTCAACTGTCTTCCACTCTCACGTTTGGTTGCCCTGAGGTGGACCCTGGGGAAATCAAAAGTAGCACAAGTCCCTGTTTATCTTAGACAAAACGCTATGCCTTCAAGTGCCTCGGGGGCTTTTCACAGATATAACAGCATATATGTTACAAGACAGCAAGTGCATCTTTAAATAGCCTCATTGGAAAAGAAAAAAAAAAAAAGAAACAAAATGCTCTACGATAGCTCAAAAACATGGAATAACTGAAAAGCTAATGCTCCATGACATACTGAGAGATGATGCACCAGACGATGTTTTTCCTGGAGAAGAAACTTGGTCAGAAACTCCCAAGACTACATTATATATTGATGGCAGAGTTGCAATAAAATGAGATTTTTCTGATTCTTTGTTCAGTTTTAAATGTACACATTCAAATCCAACTGGGCACAAAGTACTTCAACCTCCCAGAGGCACTGAAAGAAGATGTTACACCTAGATCCTCTCCCCTACACCCAACCCAAATTTTACATTATCCATAAAGGTGAAAGCAACGAGATGATGATACACTTTCTTCAAACAAAATTGTTTCTGGAAGTTCAATCCGTGAAAATGATCGGGAAATGTGTTCTGTCTCCATCTGGACCTGGATCCTTCATTACCACTTCCAGCCCTGGGGACACTCCAACCTCAAAAACTGCCTAGAAACCCCCCCATCTCTGTGAAATACCTTTCAAAAACGACTGAACAGAATGAAAAACCCTAGGTTTTTTGGTTTTTGTTTTGTTGTTGTTGTTGTTGTTTTGAGGAGAGTAAGGGGAGGTGTGATGAATGTGGGAATTTAAAAGTCTAAAGAAAATTAGTTCTTTATTTAATTAAATAAAGTCTCCTGCATAAGCTCAAGTTGATGGAAACAAAGAAGAAGGAAAGTTTAAATTATTCTAGATTGAATTGATTCTGCTATTTCTAGTATACATAGAAACTTATGAAAAAGTTAATGATCTCATTAGCTCCTACCAGGCAGCGCAAGTTAATGTCTGAACAGCAAAGATTAAAAGGAGATGGAGGGCATCTTATTGGGCTGAAAAACTACGACTATAAGGACCTACTTTCAAAAATAGGCATTGAGCCAGTCTATTTGTAAATAGACTTAATCATGCACATATAAGCTAGTTACAACAATGAAACAACACAGTATCATTCAATCATTTTTTTCATCATTACTTTTCCTTATCTCTGAGATATGGTTGTTGAATGCCAAGTGAATGATGTGCTATAAACTTTCCAAAAAATAATAGTTACTCAGAGAAAGCATTTCTAAAATTTAAGTGTACTACCACATCTACGGCAAACTTTAAACACACAAGAAAAATATGTATTTTTTATCTTAATTGAACTTGGAAAAGCTTTGTGAAACTGCATGACTGGTTCTTGTGAAGTTAATTCAGTTAGCACAAAAGTGATTCATTGTACTAAGATAAGAGCGACAGAGGTAGAAAGCTGAACCAAAGGAGTTCTCGAAAGTGTTTTACATATTGAGAACAGAGAATTCCAAGAAAAGAAATAAAGATGAAAAAAAATCAAACTTTAGGCCTCATTGACCTCAAAGTATTTTGACTTATAGAAAAAAAAAGGTTAAGTGATAAATTTTCTCATTTAATTCTGGGAGATAAAAACAAGGCACTATCCCTACTGTATAGATAGAGTCTATAGTTAAAGGGGGTTCAAAATAAGACACAGTTAATAATGTAGCCTATCCCTGCTTTCCAGAGCAGGGGCTGAATGGGGTGTTTGGGTTAATTACACACTAATATGCAATGAATTACTCTACTAAATAAACTTAATATTATATGAAATATAATCCAGACTTTCGTTGAAAATTTAATGATTCTTTCACTGCCTTAGGCTTCCAGTGTTTTGCCTTCTTCAATCTGTTTGCCACAGGGTAGGTGTGGTCCCGGTGTGCTCTCACATAGAGACCTTCAATGGCTCCTGACTGTTTTCAGGACAAAATCCGAACACCTTGGCACCACTTACAAGGCCCTTCATTATGTGGGTCCTGCTTCTCTGTCCACTCTCATTTCATGCCACTATTCCCAGCTTCCTACTCTAGTTCCTCAAATGATCTTGTCTCTGGGCTTTTGAAAACACTTCCCTTGCCTAGAAACTCCCCCTCCCCTCCTCCCACACCAAACCGTGCACATCTGGCCCTATGACTCTTCCAGGTCTCAGTTCAGCTGAGACTCACTTCCTCACTTCCTCCCAGTCCATGAGTTGGTTCTTGCTCCAGTAAGAACTGGAAAAGGACCATGAAACTCATCTGTTTCACTTTAACCAATACCAGGCAGAAGTGTCTGTTCTACTTCTTTAACTTCTCGGAAAACCAACCTACCTTGAATCCAATAGTAATCTCTCACAATTCTCAAATGACTTTTGCCACTATCTTAGCTTGTTTCTTTGGTTTATTTTCAATGGCAACTCTTCAATCAAGTTATACTCCTTTATTTTGAATTATTTTTTTGAAAACTCTTGCACACAGTTACCAAATTAACTGAATAAAATCTAAGCATGAGTTTGCTTACCTCCTTTTAGAAATAACTCCTTTTTCTCCTAAATCCCCTCTATGTATGCATGTATAATTACTGGATGGGGTAAGACATTACATTTTGCAGGGATGAAACAGAAAGACGCAAAAGAAAATTCTAATCAGCTTCATAAATAACTTCAATACATTTACCATTTGACTGGTTTTTCTCCAATGTTCTCCCACAAACAGGAGAATAAACGAAATAAAACTTTACTACCCGCTCACATAAATTGTTACACCAGAAGATTAAGTGGCCCTATACTAGAAAGGGTTCAGCAGAAAAATGAACTATACCAACTTCAAGAATGTGTTCTAGAATTAAAAAAAGAAGAAAACATGCCCACTCTACCCAGTATCTCATAAATCTTTTTCAAAAAGCATCTTGTGACATCCGATTTAATCCTACACTCCTTCCTTTCTTTCTCTTATTTTCCTTTCCCTGAAAATGCTGGTAAATTGATGATAGGTGAAATGAAGCATTTTTAGAATTAGAGCCAAAAATCACAGCACAAAATTTTTATTTAGTATGCTTTTCTGCTCTTTTTTGTCTAAGTGACTTTAAGTCACTCAGAATAGAATGATTGATGTCAATGGTTATTTTGACATGAAAAGGCAAATTATCAAAAATACTTAAAAGGAGTATAAAAGATAGATCTAGATGCATGACTCATATGAAGGATGTAGATATTTGAAATGGGACACAAATGGCAATGGTTTATCCTAAGACTGAAAGGTGCATCACTAGTTCAAGCCTATCAAATTGTCCTGAAATAAAAGCACTTATGTGATAATTCTATGCTTCAGGCAGCTACTCCGAAGGTTAATTAGATCTGATACCAAGGGAAGTAAAACTGTGCGTTTATCATGGGATGTTCAGCACAGTTAAACTATATATTAGATGGTAAAACAAATAAGAATGTAAAATCATATAACCTTTTGCAGAAAGAGACAAAAATATACCCACAAAACAAAGAGAGAACCAACAATCTACTTTTCCTTATGGATTTTAAGTATATGAATAGGTCTCTTTAAACTGAAATTGCTCCACTAAAATTTGTTCTAAAATGTACTGTGGAAAAAATAACAGGGAGGCATAATATTTTAATTGTACGCAGTTTGATATCAAGCAAAGTTATCAAAAAGTTAGGATTTTTCTGGATGCTTTAAATGTGTGGTATTTTGGGATCTATCAACATAATATAGTTGCGCACCCATGACATTATGTATAGAGGGATCAAATATCTATGTGCTTTGGTTATGGCCTCTCTTCCACTTCTTAGAAGCTCCACAAATCAACAAAAAACAACAACCTGTATTTGTACGCAAACTCAGCAAAGCCAATGGTCTACAAAGCTTTATATGGAAAAAAACCCCACCCAGGCTATGTAGTGTATCCCTCCACTTTGACATCTTTGAGTCGTGGACTGTCATAATACTAGACTATGACTGCTCTCTGTGTATCTCTCATACACACCATAAAATGAATTAAGAGTTTTGAAGGTTAAAGAAAGAATGATTTCACAAAAATTACACTCAACACAATTTTTGCACTTCTCACTACAATTTCCTTTACTGGAGAATGTAGAAAACTTCACACTTCACACCTCTGAGCGTCTCTTCTAGAGTCATATGAGAGGGCAGCTTTCTGTAACTAGAACATCACTATTTTTATGACTAGATGCTTTGCTAATGATTAGCAATAAACATTAATTTTTCCCAAGATTCAAGCACAAGAAAATTACCTCAGCAGGTGTATTTATGCCGAGATTTTTTTCAAAGTGATTCAAAGATTTAAAACCAGATCTATTTTGATCCTGATATATCATTGTTTCATAATTTAAAATTGCTTCTTGCATTTCTTCTGGCTTGCTTTAAAAATTGTTTTTCTTTTCACTTTTGGTTATAAATTGTTATTTTTCTTTTCTTTACAATGCCATAGTAATTTTGCTGCATTGAGACTTGTTTCATTTATGCTTATAAACTCAAAGTACATACTTTTAAGAAATTTTGTCTATTTATATACCTATATAGCTATCTCGTTTTGCTGCCTTCATGCTCAAGAGAAATTAGAAATACAACATTTTGATGAGATTTTAGGGCAGGCATATATGAAGCAAGAGATCCAATATTATTAATAAATTTACCAAAAAATATGTAAAATAAGTGTAAAACATACTATGTGAAATAGCAAAATATCCCCATAGGAGGAAAAATGGAAAATGAATAAAATCATGAAACAGTACATAACACAATTTGCTTCAAGTATTTTTAAAAGGAAAAGAAATGACCAAGGCAAAGGTTGAACACATAATAATACATATTTTTAAAGTGGAGGAACACATGCAAAATTAAATCTCAAATTTTAGCAGTGGTATTGTCAAAAGCAAACAGCAAAAATTCATGTGAAGACTGGTTCCGGTCTTCATATCAATTCCAATCAATTCCTATTGATTCCAAGGTCAATATACCTCTCTGTTTTTAAATTTTTTTTTAATTTTTTTCAGTGTTCCAAGATTCATTGTTTATGCACCACCCCCAGTGCAGAAAAAATCAATTATTATATGGTTTCACTTACTTGTGGAGCATAAGGAATAACATGGGGACATTAGGAGAAGGAAAGGAAAAGTGAAGTAGGGTGAATCAGTGGGGGAGACGAAGCATGAGAGACTGTGGACTATGAGCCTGGTAGTGGGTATTAATTTACCTCTTTTAAAATGAAACACTTTGCACGTGAGCTAATGAGCACCTGGTGTTATACTGACCTGATAAATCATTGAACACTATATCAAAAACTAGTGATGTCCTAGACCTTGGCTAATTGAATTTAAATTAAAAAGTAGAGTAAAAATTTAAAAAAATGAAACATTTTACCAAAACACAAATTCTTTTTGGTATCAGATAATTTCTCTTGTATCACTAACATAAGAGACATCAGAGAAAAGAGTACATAAAAGTTTTAATATTAAAATTAAACTTACGTCTCTAAGTTGTCACCTTCGAGAACTGTCTGGACAGGCAGGTAGCCAAGCCGAGGATGTTTGGCAAAGTATTTCTTTGATCTGAACTTATTCTTCAGCACCTTTGTGAAGTCTCGTACGTCTTCCCCAGATGTTGTCTAGAAAGTTGAAAAAATTATACCTCCTTCATTAAAATGGAAGGAGATACTAGCTATAATAAAATTCCAACAGATATAAATGACAACAGTTTCAGTAGCTTTATGTATTTCTAGAACAACAAAGCATGTCACAAAATCACGAGACAACCAGGACTCATCATTAAATATATCCAGCAATTGGTTCATATTTTTTTATAACTAGCTCGTTTCTCCAATATTTAAAAAATTGGGCCAAAAAGTAAAATCAGTTTTGGCAATGTTATTGGTTGATTCCTACTAATAAAAGAGTTGTGACTTGCTCTTAAGTGTGTTTAGTGATGATGAAGGATTTTGGATATAATACGGTTTTAACTACGGTGAATAAATGAGGCTGAGCTATTTAGTTCCTACTGACTTCCCACAAGCCAGCATATGTTGAAGTCTGGAAAAGGAGAAAGCAATAAATAAGAGAGAAGGAATAGGGCCACAATATTATCAGGAATACTGTCAGTCTGTCTTTCCCAACCATACAAACATATCATTATTGGACATGGACTAAATTCGTGATGCAATATAAAATGTTACTCTTTCCTTAACCATTTCAAGATGATTAGCTAATAATCATTTGCGCTGAAGCGAGCTGAAATCCATCCCCACCCCAGCCCCTCTTCCCATCCCATGAATTGTTCCCAAAGCCTCACCGTCCTACTCTCCATCACCAACTCTAGTTTTTATTTACAGTATGTAATACAGACACCAACTTCTGTCCTTGTGAAGAGGCATTTAAGATATTTATGTTACCTGCAGGGAGCTAAATTAAAGTCTTGTTTTTCTGACTCCTAGTTGGCTATTCACCCTAAGCCTGGACAGACCTCACTCCTATCACTTAACAAAACAAAACCAGAGAACTCTTCTGTAATAACAAACCCAGTACTAAATATGCTGCTTACTTGCTGCCTGGCCCCCCTTCTCCTTGCACCCCCCCCCAGTCCGTCTCTATGACAAGCATGCCCAGGACTCATACAAACTTGTTTTGCAAACAGAAGCTTAAAAAATATAACTATTTTTTAAAACAACTAAATTCTGAGTCAGCCCTTATGTGGTTTTGTAGCTTTCCATCTGCTCTCTTTCTACCTAAATGTGTCTGCTTCTAGTAGAAAATTAAGAGAACTTTTCATTCTCTAGGCTTGCAGAGCAGAGAGGAATAAGCCCAAGTTATTTATAATGTAAGTTCAACAATTTTCATTTTACTTAAAAAAAAAAAAAAGTATAGCAAGGACCACCAGCCACGTTGTCACTAGGCCTTGCCATCAGACCCACAGTGTCCAATCTTTTCCAGAATAACACAGAACAAACTATATAATGTCTGTAGCTGTTTAGGTACAGATCCTTCCAAAGATAAAGAAGAAGGACAGAAAATAAGCTATTCATGAAAAGAAAAAGAATCTAAGGCATTCTGCAGAGGAAAAGTGTTGCTAAGATAGACAATGGTTTGGGGGGTACTAAGACTTAACCAGATGGAACAGGAGAAAGAAGTAGAATAACACTTGGGAATAAAGAAGGAAATTTTTAAGAAGGAATGTCTGGGACTGAGGCTAAAGCCAAAAGGACCTTTCACCTTATAAAGGACATTTGGACCTCTAGCAATGGGTACCACAACTGCAGATCATTACGTCGATAGATGCGTTCTCCCTGCATGATTTGATAAAGAGGAAAAGAAGGGAAGAAGCTTTCCATGATAGGAATACAAAAAGAAGACCCCAATACAAAGAAAAGCATTTATGACTCAATTTGTTTTTCTGTCTGCTCTTAAACCTTGTTAATATACAATGAGATACGGAAGTACTGGCCTCCATTACTTGGCCTACCTTCCTCTGGCAATAAAAACGTTCTACCATTGAGCTCAGTGGTTTTCAAGCCATATCCAGGCTTTCCATCAGGTGGTCCTGGGTGGGGTGGGTGGGGGAAAGGCCAGGAGGGTATGGTAGCAGGATACTTAACCAGCCTGCCTCCACAGGTGCTGTTTACATATTCCCAGGGTTCTGCAACCATCAGCTCAAAAAAGAAACCCTGTACCCATTTGCAATCACTCCCACCCTGTCCTAACCCTGTCGTCACTCCTCAGCTCCTGGCAACACTAATCTTTCTGTTTCTACGGATTTGCCCATTCTGGACATTTCTTATCAACAGAATCAGATGATATGTGGTCTTTTGGGACTGGCTTCTTTCACTTAGCATAATGTTCTTCTAGCTTATCTCTATTTAGGTTTCAACATGAACTTCTGCTCAGGGGGAAAAAAATGCACATCATTGAAAGTACACGTCCAATTCTGCATCAAACGTTCTTTATGTAAAGACACTGAAGATGTGGAAGAACAAAGGAAAACCAACCAACCAACCAACAACCAAAAAACCCCATCTCCCATAAAACAAAAATACAAAAAACAAATTAAAGAGCACCAACTTGCCTCCCAAAAAGTTATAGCAGGGGCTGAAGTTAATTGTGATAACGTTCAAATTTAGTATTGAAAAAAAAAAGTGCATTCTCATGCAGAAATTGCATTATTTTTATTTCCTCATGAATTTTCATATCAAGGGGAATAAAAACTTCTAGCAAAACTTACAATCTAAAGGCACTGAATTCACTAATGCCATAAGCTTTATGTAACATTAAAAAAAAAAATAGAAAGTAATTCATCCCACAAAAACTAGGTGTTACATTCCAGTTAGCAAAATGTAATTCTTTAGTTGAAAGAAGCCAAGAAAATGAATCACACCTATTTTCTGACCCAAAAAAAAGGTAAAAGATATTTTTACACATTTGGTCTAATTTGCTATCTAATGACAGTGTCTAATATCTCTCTCTTTCAAAGCACTAGAGTAATAGTTTGGTAAAAAGCAAAGACCACCCACCTAGCATAATGAATATAATCAAATGCAGCTCTATCTTCAAGCTAGGTATAATACTTTGTTCTTTTTCTTTTTTAAGCAAATAACTATTGATATTATGATCTGAGGATGAAATTGAAAGAAACACTCATTACTACACAAATTATCCGACATTTTAAGTTATCCATGTCTTTCTTGAAAGACTAAGGTTTTCGTTTATTGCTGTAAGAAAGAAAGAAGAACAAAAGATTTTGAAGAGCTCATTATATGAGACAAGGGGAATATAATGGCATAGAACTCTGCACCTTATAAATAGCTTTCCTTCATTCTCATTTTACCATCAAGGGTGGTAAGATTAGTGTTACTTTTTTGACGCCTCCACAAGCTGACACCAAAGCTTTCAGACCTACAAGTCAGTAAGGAGAAAGCTGCTCTTGCAAACCTGGGTCTTTTCACTCTACCAGCACTATATCCCTTCTCCTAGAAAAACAACAGTTCTAAGTTTTGTAAGAGCTGAGAGCTTTATAGTCATCGACTAAAATACCTATTACTACATTAAGCTACCCTGTGGCTGATTTTTTACCAAATTCATATTGAAATGTCAACTTATGACTTTTAAATTGCAGGTCTAAGACATGTTTCGTGTAAGTAGAATTAGAAAAAAAGTTACCCATGAAAGAAAAAAAGAGCAATATTAAAATCACCTGCTTTTTGGCCACCTAGGCATTCCCACCCTTAAAATGTTTGTGACTGGACTGATTTATTTTCTAATTTGTTTTGTTGTAAAACAAAACACAGATATATAAAACTATATACAACAAATGCTTGATGAATATATAAGGCAAATACCATCCAATCAGGAAACTGAACTTTGCGAGACATTCCAGAAGCCCCTTCCACATGCCTCATTTCACCCCTCTCTTTCCATAATAACCATTATCTTCATTTTTATAAGCAACAACTACCTGGTGTGTAAAAAAGGCTTTTTTTCACCCCAAAGTCTATCCCTAGATACTGTAGTTGCTCATTTCAAAAAATCTGATATATTTTAATTCACTTTTAATATCTACAAAGTTCTCCTCCATAGCCATTTCCTTACAGTTTATGTTGGAAAACACAGGCAATGTGATGTAGCTGAACTTTGCTGAGTGTATATTTTTGGTGCGGTTCAGCACGTTCCTCAGTCCCTTGGATATCCTGCAAACCAGCAGCTGGATGGAGAGAATGCATCAGCTTCAAGTGTGATCTGGCAAGACTATCAGTAGTGTTTGGTAGGCACATGATGTCTGGTTATCACTCTTCTGTGATCCTCACAGATGTCATGCTAAATGCCTATAGCCACCCAATAGGGGTTTCAAAATGGCGGCCTTCTAATTCTATCATCCATTTTCATTTATTAGTTGAAATATTATATGAAGGCATGTCCCCGTGTCTACTCTTCAGCCACTCAGTAATACAGTTCATTCAGGAAAGGCAGGATTACATGTTTGATTTTTCCCTTTTATTGACCAATTTCTGAAGCAACATACTGGTTTCCTATCATCCTCCAAAGATGACCTTTTTAAATTATTATTATTATTTTCATGAATCATTATGAACTTGTAGATTTTTGCCATATTTGATGGGTTTTTGATCTATTGCAACTATTATCGTTATTGAAGATCAAATTGTCCTATCTTTGGCCAGTAGGAGCCTCTTCCAGTTAACCCCACTAAGTTTAAGTTCTACAGGTAACAATATAATTAATGGTCTCCATCTGTCCTTAGGATGTTATTTCTCCAGTTATTTTGTTTGTCTGAAGCCTGGTCTCTAAGTAAATCTTCAAGAAGTGTTCACAGGACCAACATTCTTGTTTGTTAGTGATAATCTTCCCGAGTCCTTACTAAATAGTAGAAGGCTGGTTTTTCTCAATATAAAATCCTTGGCTCACATGTTCTCTTCCTTTCAGTTTCTTAAAAATGTCCTTCCATTTTCTTTTGGAGCATAAGGAATAACACGGAGGACACTGGACGATGGAGAGGAGAAGTGAGTTGGGGGAAGTCAGAGGGAGAGACGAACCATGAGAGACTGTGGACTCTGAGAAACAAACTGAGGGTTTTGGAGGGCAGAGGGGTCGGGGACTGGGTGATCCT